AATTCAGCTCCTGCATTAGGAAAGCCAGTAAAATAAGCCAGGACTCTACTTGCTGATATTACAGAGTTCTTATTGTCTCTTTTTTTAGGGGCAAATTTAACCCAGCTGTCTTTCCATATAGCAAGGCTATGAGCCCTAAAAAGAGCAGAAGAATGGCTGGGAAATGTGGATGACACACCACCATCATCTTGCAGGAATTGCAGGAAGCTGTACTTCCACAGACTCATCTTTTGTTTTAACCTCATTTACATGGAAAAATACACTTACGTTTTCATACCATCATACTGCAAATGAACATTAATTTCTCGGTGAGTTTATTTATGACTTTACTTGTCTTACTTCGATAATTTTCTTTTAATGTGATCTCAGTGCACATCATAAAAAGTGTGACTTATCTATTTGAATTTCCAGAATAAAAAATTAGATTCTAGGAAGGGATGGTATAGCATTGATTTTGGATTCAACGGACTGAATTAGCCACCAGTGAATATTGGATCATTAGAAAATAACTTAATAATTTCAGAAATGTACAATGTACTGAGAAGAATCTTAGGAAGTATCTGCTCAATGCTCTTATTTTTCATCTGAGGAGTCTAAGCTCAGAAAGGATAAATGACTTCTTGAAACTCGTAAGCTAGTTATAGACAGAGCTAGGTCTCCTAATGCATTGCTCTCAAGGATAGTACAACTTGGCAATCATTTAAGGTCTGCAGAGTAAGAACTCCAAATCTTATACATGTTTTGTGCATGTTTACATTCACTCAGCGATGTTTATTTTTGCTGCCTGAGATTACAAACATCACACCAAGCAAGTATGTAGGGCCTATGTGTAAGAGCCTCAAAGCATCCTGAAGCTCCAACCTATCTAAAGTCATCAAATTCCATCTGCACTCTTGACTGGGCCCAGCCAGGACAACACTGATGAAGAAAAGATTAATTTGTAATCTGCTGTTTTGCTAAAACAAATCTGGCAGAAATTAACAAATTCAGGCGGGTCTTAGTCTTCACACTAATACTCAATTTTGTTATGCATATTGTTTATACATTGTACCAATATTTACTCATCACCTTCTATGAGCTAAGTGTGGTTCTAGACAGAGCACAGACAAGCATGAGCAAGACAGGCCACTCCCTGCCCTCATGGAACTGACAAGCAAGTACCAGAAGCAAAAATAAGCAGATAAACAAATGAGCAAAGTAATTTCAGGGCACCCTAAGTGCTACTGAAGAAGCTGAATGGGATGATCATAATGAGAAAATTCTATTTTTGGAAAGATGGCCTATTTGAACATTCATAAATCATTTGAACATATGATTTATGATCTGTGTAATGAGAAAGTGGCAGCCAGGTAAGAAGTAGGAGGAAGATATTCCTCGCAAAGGGAAAGGCTGAGTAAGAGGCTCTGATGTGGGAACACGTCTGAGATTTGGCTGTACCACGGGAAGCAAGGAAGAGCAAGGTGGTGAGGACACAAGCTGGATAAGGGATTTGAAGGTTTTTTTTCCCCCAAAGGTAATGTAAAGACAAACCCATTTTTAGAAATGAGCCTGAATTCCTCTACACAATTTTATTATCTTATTATATACAAGCAGGACAAATCTCTGCATTAGGAAAGCCATAGTGATTCTAAATCATATGTAATTTACTTACTTAAAATGCATATAGGAAATAAGTCTTAGCTGAGTGCTTGAATATGACTTCTGCATACCAGAAAAAAAAAACAGTACAGCATTTTAACCATTTAGAACTGCATTCCATTTAAACCTAAATAGGTCTACAAATACATTATCACCTGGTTTACCCCATCCAGCAGGTAAAATCTCCAGAGTACAAAGGCTGAACTCACTCCTTACTACTGAATTAGTCAATTGACAAAATGTTCTTTAAATTATGCAATGCATTTTTGAGGATATTAGTACAATCTATTTTCATAGCATGAGTGTTATATTTGTTGTATGTAGAAAATACATATAATGATTAATAATTTTCTGTAATTATTGAGGTACAAATGTAACCATATATAATGATCATTAATTTACTGGAAGATTAGGAAGCTCTGTAAGGTAAAATATCTATGTTTATAAATATAAAGATCCTGGGCCACCTGAAATTGAAGGATATGGATCAAGCATCTGAATTCCAGTTTTGTGAGCAGTTACCCACATGATCAAGCTTGGGCAAATTTCTAACTCTCTATGAATCTCAAGTCTCTCTCAAAAGCATAGGTTACCATACTTTACTAGGTTGAAAAGACAATGAAACAAGAATTTCTAAGCATCTGACACATAGAATAAACTCAATAAATCTTAGGGTTTCTCCCTCTTCCTGTATATTTTTTTCTAATAAAAACAGTAGCATTTATGGTACAGGAGCTATGCTCATACAGATTTCATTTGTCTCTTTCAGGCAAAACGTGATGGTATTTTTCACTCAAGAGAAAAAGGTAGGACAAAGGAATTGCTGCTAAAGCTCTTCATATATCAAACTCTGAATTAAGACCTGGTGTTTCTAATTGTTCTGCTGCCTGGAACCATCCCATTTTGGCAGCCTAGCTTCTCTACAGCTTCCACCGTGTTTCCTTCATCTCAGACACAAACACATGCCCAAGCGCAGTAAATCACAGTTAATTGCATGTCTTAAATTAAAAGACAAAAATAATGTACAATTAATTGAGGGAAATTGTCAGTTGGTGAATGAGTCTCGCTCATTACACTTGGTGCAGAGGATGCATGCCAAGTGTGTGTTCCAGGCAAGAAGATTCAGCTCGTGACACTGAGGTACAACCTTTCTGCAGAGCAGTCTGGTCCAAAGAATCAAACGCTTTAAAACACTCAACACTGTAATTACAGCATGTACAGCTTTCTCTGCAAGGATGTTCAATACAGGACTGTGCATAATCAAAAACAATCAGAAAGAACGAAAATGTTCAGTGATAGGGACTGAAGAAAGAGACAAGGTTTTGGCCATTAGAGGAAAAAATCTAAGATGTTTACAAATGATTTTTTCATATTAAATAATATGAGAAAATGTCCATGGCATATTCTTATGTGACAACTGCTTATAAAACCATGTTTTTTTGGAGAATTACATTATAAGTGGAAGAAGCAAGAAAAGAGAGGAGGAGGAGAAAGGTACTGGAAAAAAATACAACAAAAATGCCAACATTTGTTATCTGTGAGTTGCTTATACTTCCTAAATTTTCTAATTTTCTAAAAAAACTTTCTAAGTTGTCTAAAATTTCATTTCAATTTATTTCTGAATCTGATATTACAAAACGTCAATTTTAAAGATCCCTAAGAATCTATTAAGATGAACTTACCTGACTATTATAACAAAAAGTCATCATAAAATTAAAAAAAATCCCCAGGAAGCATTTAGATACAATCTTATTATACCCTTGGTTATACAGACAAAATCAACTTTGTAAAAATGTACTTTATAAATATACAAGAAAACCATGTTCAACAAAATTAAATGTTCAGTACAATGATTTATTGCAACATATACCTTATAGTATATTACTGTACCAGAAGAAAATCACTATAAATCCTTATTAATTTAATACTAATACTGAAAAACTACAAAATATGTTCACAGAAAAACCAATAACCTTGAATTTGAGGAACTGCAAATCTTCTCTCCTCCACCCACCTACTCTCCCATTATTTTCTACCCTGTAATAGTAAAACTTTACATCTAGCCACCTAGTATTATTCTGATGCTAAAATTTGACAATAAACAATTCACACACACACACACACAAACACACACATACCGTTTCATCATTTTTACCAACCAAGACGAGAACAAATAAAGTTTTGCAATATATCACCAGTCACGCTAACTTTTGTTTCATTTCAATTTTAGAAGAAAAGAATACACAAAACTCAGAGTAGATTCATTCCAAAAGTACTGAACAGTCTACGAACCTTGAAATAAGAAATAAACATTTCCTGCTCTCTATTATTTAGCTGGGGTAGGGAAAGATAATCATATTTCAGCAAAAACCCATATCTCAACCTCAGGCATCTTTCTGTCCCAAGGGAAGTATTTCCATTCCACTCTTAATGGAACAAATTTCTAATCAGAATACATATTGAAAAATAATTGAGGCAAGGCAATGTCCACACATCATGTTGCCATCAGCCATCCTGGTGCTGGGAATTAACTCAGCAGACTCTGGTGTGACAGAGAGCCAGGACAGTGGGAGTATGTCAGATGACAGGAGAGGAGCCAGCAAGGATGACACAACGTTCTGCTCCTCTTTGGGTGCTTAAGACAGTGTTGGAGGGAAGCTTCTACCTGGAAAATGCCAACCTTAAAACCTTTAAGGAAAGGATGACTTATAATGGGTCCAGGCCAGGACCTCAACATTTAAATTGGCATCAGCGTCTACTTTTTTTTTTCTTTGTTTTTTCCTTTTTATATTAGTGTCTACATTTATAAAGTTATGGAGAATTTTTGAAGTAACAGTCATTTTGGAAAGGTTAACACTGTCTTTAGATTTTTAAATTATTAAAATCTTTGGGTAACATTCACTATGGGATATACCATGTGATGCTTTGAAATAGTCCAAAGGCTTGAATTCATGTTCTTCAGCTTTGACAACATACTGATAATTGTTGAAGCTGGGTGATGGGTCATGGGGGCTCATTATAGTAACCTTCTATTTTTGAATCTGTTTGACATTTTCATGATAAAAAATAGAAAAAATAGACTTCTTACTATTCATTATATGTTCAAAATTTTACTGACTTTTCCTTTGGTATGAGATCTGATTTATGCTTAGGATTATTTAAGAATTTAACAAGCAGCGTAAGTTAAAAAGAAAAACCTACCAAATATGTTGATCATTAAAAAAAAATTCCTTCACTCCTGAAAAAAATGTTACCAGGATCTCTAATGCTAGAAGAAGTGCACCTAAACCAATGCAGTGCCACCATCTGCCTGGCATTCTCACAGTGTGACAAAATAGACTGGTAATGAACTGCTTTCCTACCGAAATCTGCCAGCTTTAACTCCCCCGTGTCACTGATCAGAAGGTTCTGTGGTTTCAGGTCTCTGTGCAAAATATAACGCTGGTGGATGTAAGACAGCCCTCGCAGCAACTGAAATAAAAACAACTGAAAAAATAGGGAGACAAAAGTTAAAATCTGAACACAGATAAATGCCAGTTTCTATATACAGTCGGCCAAGTACTTGTATTTAGTGAAAATGGATACCCATCACTGTATTTCCTACCAAACTGTTTAAACAGAATGTGCGTAAAGGTATGGTAATCCCTAATTTATTAAGAAGTAAGTCTGAACATGTCTAACAACCTGTTTTGTCAACCCAGAGTGGTACCTCCTCAGCCAGAAAGATCTATAATCCAATCTGAGCTTTATAAATTAAGAAAAATGTAAAGAATCAACTTTTTTCATAATATTCGATTTCCTCAGATCTAAATTGACACTTGAAACAGAGTAAAATATCTGTCCATGACATTATAAAAAGAAACAGAAATTTTACTAAGTTTATGTAAATGTGCACATATTTAATTCCATAGAAATGACATAAACTTGGTACCCAAGGACTCATCCATTAAAATGCTTTAAGGAACAGAAAGATAAGATGATTTCAAATAATTAACACAAAAACAGTCACATGGTCCAATTATTACTACATGGTAATTATATTGCTTTTGCACATATGGCCACAGAGATTAGGCTGTAGCCTAAAGACAGACATGTACCTTCACTAATTACAGAACAGACCCATCCTAAAGGAAAAGGAAACACAGAAAACAGAGAAATCAAGAATTCAAGAGCAATGCTTTTGTAAGAAATAATTTTAAGAAGCGACTGATGGCCTTCTGTTTAGTTTCAGAGATCATGTCAACCGTTTCCACCTTGATAACAAAAAATGTGATTCACTAGGATTTCCAATATTATGTTTCTAAAAAAGGGAGTATCTTTAAACAATCTACTTGCCAAAATATCCTAATTGACATAGTTTTTAAAAAACCAATCTCCTAAAACAAAAATAAAAACAAGTGGTTTCAAGTGCCGTCAATATTGTAGTCTATGTAATCAGCTGGTAACAAAACACAGATTCAGAAAAATTTTAAATGAATTAGCTGCCAAAGATTAGTGTTATAAGGATTCCAGAATATTCAAATGGAAAAGACTGGCAACTTCTTGAGGGCCCTGGAAGCTAGTATTTCTGGAATATTTTCTGACTAACTAGGGGCTCTGAAAGCCAAGTAAATTTTTTACAGGGTGGATACCTTGAAATAACAGTAGATGAATTCATTTCACAGTCTTTGTATATGATAATACGCCATGGAGCAGTGAAGGCCTAGGATCATTATTTCCAGAATCCAAGTATCAGAAAGTAAAAGCCTGTTCTGTGTTAGCCTAGATTAAATTACTGGCTCAAGAACCTCAGGAAGCAAACGTCTCCTGGACACCTCGTTTCAATTCTTCCTGTGCAGCAGATGGAAGACTTAACACCACCACCAGCCTCATTCCTCACTTCTTATGCCCCCTGCATCCCAAACCTGAAAGCTTATCATTTCTAAGAAAATCCATATCCCTTCCATTTGGAAGGACAAAAGGAAGAGTAGATAAAGCCAGCCTGTGTTTCCAAAAGCTTTAAAAAAAAAAAAACAAAAACCAACACAAAGGCAGATCACATAACAAACTGAATTTCAAAAATAAGCTGATTTTGAAAACAAAGTTCACATTCTGCAAGGTCCTACCTGATCTCTGGGGCTGAGCCAAGACTAATCCGAATGTGATCATCTGTTTAACCACAGCAACACAATTGAGTTGAACAAACGAATGACATGAAATACCAGCTACCATCTTCTGCTTCACAGAAAATGAGCTTATTTATTCTCCGTAACAACTTTAATACAGAAGGTTCGACTATTATCTCTGTATTAGTCACACGGCAACCAAATGGCAGAGCCAGGACTAAACCTAAGCAGTTTGACTGGAAAATCCATGCCCCTTAACCCCTACGCTACAGCAGTCGTGGCTACGAAACAACACAAGCAGGCAGTGTTGACATAGAAGCTGCTCCCTCCAACTGCCAGGACAAGGTCTGGGCATATAAGAGCATGGCCTGAAGCTGCTGAGCTGAGCCCTGGTCCCAGCGGGGTGCTTGGTCACAATCACTCTGCATTCCCTGACTCTGCGCAGTCTCACTCACCCCACACTCAGGGCACACTGCTCCTCAACCTTCTTCCTTGCTTCTTGCCTCTTCTCTGATGGAAAAGCTGTCTCTCATCATTGCCTGCTAATCTCCAGTATGTATTATTTAGGTCTCTCCTGAAAAATCACTCCTCCCTGGAGCCTTCCCTGACCCCAGGCCTTCACTCTGCCGACACATCTGTGTGAGGTGCTCCTCCTCTGTGCTCCTGGGGCAGCTCCTACATCTGTCATCACAGCACAGTATTACCCTACCTCCCATAGACTGCGTGCCTTAACCATCCTCCTAACCTGGGTACACAGCTGACACTCATATACCAGTAATGTGATTACTGCACAGAATTTAGAGACATCTGGATGAAGTAGATACAAAAATAACAGACTCTTGGAACGGGATTCTCCAGAAGCTATGGGTAGGGGTGGATAGTCAAACAGTCCCAAAGGGCTCTTCTTTTAATATCTTAACTAATTAGTGAAAATATATAATCCTCATGCTAATCCAGAAACTATTCAAAAAGGGTATCTTATTCAAGAAGATTAAGAAAATCAGTGTTAGGAAAGGATGCAACCACATACTACAATTAGAATTGTACACATGACAAACAATAAAGCCCCAAACATTAAGCTATAGCCCCAAACCAATTTTTAGATCTCTGAGTAATGCACAAAGTTAAGTCGGAACAAATCCCCATAGAACACATTCATCAGGATTTATTAAATGCCAACCATGTGTCAGGTGCTGTTATGTAAGAGGAATGCAAAGATGAACAGGGTATAAGATGCAGTCCCTGGACCCAAGGAACTCACAGCCTACATAAACTGGTAACTAGCACTTAAAGAGATCTGCACTGTAACAGCAATGCGAACTGAGCATACTGAAGGCACAGAGGAGGGAGGAGACTTGTCACTCTGAAAACAGAATTCACTGCACATAAAATTTTAATAGGAAAACAAGCTGAGCCTTCACTAGGGGCACAAGTTGAAATGACATATTATATGACAAACCCCTTGCTATTCTGAGCAGGAAAAAAAATTGAAGAGATCAAGCAAGCAGATCACTAGATAAACTGAAATGAAGAAAATCTTAAACAAGTAAGTGAAAAGAAGATGGTACCTGGAACTGTAAAACTACCAACGCACCATCCAACAGTAATGGTGGCAAGAGGACAAATGTATATGTCACTGAAACCATCAGTAAACGTGGCATTTTAGAAATAACATTTTAATGTGTTGAACAGAACATGCACTGCTAGCTAGCGGTGAGAAGCCTATCAGGAAGCAGCAGCCATTGTGAGGTAAACAGGATTTCCCACGGAATTTTCTTTGGGAATGTCTTGAGAACACAAGTCTTGGGGATCTCTTCCTTTAGACAAACAGGCAAGTACCTAACTTTCCCATGTAAATTTTTGAGCAAGCCACTTCACTGGATTGTTGTATAAAGCACAACACAACAAACTATACCTGGTCTTTGTGAAAACCAGAGGCCACTGTGAAAACAAGAAGGATCATACACAAAGAAAGAGTAAAAAATCGGCTTTGCTACTTGCTGACAGAACTCGGTCAACACAAATGCAATCTTAGGTATGGGAAAGAAAAGAAGGGAGACTTCTACCATTTGAAAGCTTATGCTAATTTAAAAGCTGCTCCAAGTACTTCTACACATATTTTATAATCCTGTATTTTTCCTTTTCTTTTAAGCAAATGAGAAAACGAAAGCTCCAAAAGCACAAGAAACTTACTCGAGGTCACCCAACCATCACACAGCACTTGTGAACTTCCCACTACCCCTCATCATTCTAAAGGAGGTCGATGCTTACTAAACATGGATGAGTATAGTTATCCACCTAATATAATCAAAGTGCTTTTTATTAAATGAACCCAAGTTTGTACAAGTCTCAGCATATTACGTAATGAGCATAGGATTCTTGAATTTCTATTTTTGCTATTTAAAATCCTCTTAGAGATAAGTAACTTGGCAGAAGACGGATTTATGTACTGAAGCTGATAAAATTAACATATTTTAGTCTCTATCTTCTTATTTTTCTATCACAGTAACCATAAGGTCTTCCTAAGAATCCTCTGTCACCTCAGGCTATTCTCTTCAACTTTATAAAAGAAGGTATCTTCAAATCCTTCAGTATGATCACTGAAGAGTTATATTCTAGCTTGAATATGTTCCCTTTTTGCAATAAAAACCCCAATGGGAAACTGCCTTAAATAGCAATGATAAGATGAACAGGGACACTTTTGCCTGCAGCACATCTATCTATAGCCCTGCTGTCTTGCCATCGCAGCAGCAAGCAGCACATATTCTCAGTGCCACGACATATACTTCTTGGGAATATCCTTTAAGATTCCTTCTATGTCCTTCTGAAAGTCTTTAGAAATTAAGTACGTAAAAAAAAATCAAGAGAAGGATTTTTAGCAAAACATTTCAAGCAAGTTGGTAAAAAGCAAATATCATTGGACTCAATATGTTATATATATTACTCAAAAGAGTTACTGGCACTTGCAGTGAGCAACACATTTTATAACCCCCACCCACCTCGAAGTCTAAAGCTGTGTAATCAGATGCTCTTTGTCTCAATGTTTACAATCATTAGGCTCCAGGAACAGCCTGAAATGCATGCATTATTTAATATATGTGGTTCCACTTAATATGAGACTAAGCACAGTGAATATCCTGCAGGTTTTCCAGGCACAGGTCAACTACCTTCAAGGAATGTCCAGGGTCTCTTAGGGCTTATCAGAGTGACTAACAATGGACTCTATGCCTTACGGTACAGCACCAATTCTTACAAAGACAAGCTAGCCAAGCTAGTTTTCTGTCATCTGGGGACCAGGGGTAGCATCTCTGTATCCTAGGTTTCTCATCTTGAAAATTACTGATTGTCTCAGATGCTCTTAATAGTCATTCATCCTGTAAA